CAACTGGTTTCCAAAATCCCATGGCAACAAACCTTTTAGAAACAACAAATTTTTGTTTCCAACCCGTTGCTAAATAGAGTTGGCAACGGATTTTTGGTGAATAGCAACAAATTTTAGTTGATGCTATATTGATTTTTTTTTGTAGTGGAAGAGAAGAGGACAGATCGAGGAAGAGGAAAGAGAAAGAGAGAGAAGGAGAACGTGAGAAGAGAGAGAAAGGAAAAAGGAGGGGGAGCGGCGTTTGAAGAAATTAGGGTTAGGGTGCACCCCTTCATACCTGTAATTTTTCCACAAAAAAAATAAAAAACCCTTGCGACTGCTTTAGCCGTCGCAAAGATACGACTATTTTAATAAACGGTCGCAAATTGCAAACGATTTAATTTAATTTTGAATTATATTCTAAATGTATTTCATCTATACAAAATGTTTAAATACCTTTACGACCGTTTAATATCCTAAAAACGGTCGCAAATCTGCGACCGCGTTAAACTGGTCGCCATTTTCAATTTTTGCGACCGTTTTAATGATGGTTGATAATTTGACCGAATTCTAGTAGTGGTCACCTTAGTACAAAAAAAATAAATAAATGAAGCAATACAATTTGTGAGTAAATATTAATTTGGCTTGAAATCCACAAATGCATAGTCGTTTGGGTAAAAATACTCATGTAGCCCTTTAGATAATTACGGAGATTATGAAAATCCAGATTCTCCATCTGGATTGCCAAAAGAACAAACGAAAGAAATTCAATACAATACAATAACCATTATCTAAATGATGGGATTTATTTAGGCCTTGTACACTTCACCTTAAGAAAAAAAAATTAGTAAAAATAATTTTATTTCAATAAAATTAATTTCAGTTAAGTAAAAATAATTTCAGTTCAGTAAAAAATCAGTAAATTTTAAGAAGATATTTAATGAGAGTGAGGGATAACTGAACTGAAGTTATTTTTACTTAATAATATTTTTATAAGGTGAAGTGAACAGGGCTTTAATCATGAGTTTAGGACCCAACTAATTCTAACTTGTTATACAATTAACCTAGCGTCTTTATGACCCGAGTCACCTGACCAATTACACTCGGCTCGTTCAAATTTGTTTCTTGATCAACCCAATTGTTTAAGACTTGACATGATTACACTCGACTCGTTCTAATTTGTTACTCGATCAACCCAATTGTTTAAGACTTGACATGATTTGATGACCCAACCCGTTCCTACCCATTATTTGTTAACTTGACTTGATAAACCCAACCTGAAACCAAACCGTTTATCCAAATTGACAGCCTTCTTGGGTGATTATGGAGTGATATTGGAGGAAAAAAGAAGGCTACGTCAGCTACAAAAAGCTACGGACAAGCATGAATCCATGCGCATAATAACCGGTCCTTTCCGGTCGCAGTCTCCCTTCTTTATTTTACCTTTCTTTCTCTATTTTTTAATTTTTGTCTCTAAAACAAAATACACAGATAGATCGACACACTCTCTCTACTCCCTCTTATCTCTCAGTCGATCAGCCTCAAACCTTGGATTACTATTCAATCTTAGCTTCATGCCTTCATCAATGTACATACCGTGTTTCTAAATGAACCAGCAGAGAGAAACCATAACCCGGAAGGTATATTGTACTTCCTCCATTCTTTTTTACTTGACCTGTTTCTTTTATCACGCTTGCCAATGCAAAACTTTAACGGTCAATAACTTTAATTCTCCACAATTAAAAAATATAAAAGTTATATATTATGATAGTAATTAATGAGATGAATTCAAAATGATCCAACATAAATATGTTTTTCCTTACATATTATTCACAAAACACGGTCAAAGGAGGGGTGGTGAATAGTGTAAAAGTCAAAGCGGGTCAAGTAAAAAAAACAGAGGAAGTACATATTATTATAACTCCATGACATGATAGGAATCATATTCTATTCATAGTTTCATTCTTTTATCTGAACGTACTGCCTACTTGCCTAGGCACCTAGCTACTCCTCATTCTCTCAAATTAATCAAATACTATGTGACATGCACTAAGGGTCTGTTCTCACTGAACTCAGCTGAATTGAACTGAACTGAACTGAATTGAATTGAGCTGAACTGAACTGAACTGAACTGAATATTTTATAGAAGGAAATTAGGAGCTGAGCTGAACTGAACTGAACTGAGTTGAGCTAAACTGAACTGAACTGAATTGAACTGAACTGAATTGAGCTAAACTTAACTGAACTAACTGAACTAAACTCAATTTCAACGTAAGAGAATAGGCCCTAATTTTATAAAAAGTAGCTAGTGTACCTATTACAATAAATCTATAATACTATAGTAATACGTAGTATATAAAATATGAGACTAACTAGAGCGCCTTATATTATGACATACTCTATATAAAATACTCCCTCCGTTGTTTTTAAATACTTGCTCCACTTTTTTTTCCGGCCATTTTTAAATACTTGTTTCATTTTCTTATTTGGAAAGTTTTTACAATATTTAATTTATTTCTTTGACCCAACATAAATAATGTTTTATTAGCTTCGTATTCTCCCTTCTCTAATTTTCTCCACTATTTTTGTTTTTAACAATTTTTTATTGTTCTACCAACTCCACTACCTCTATATTTTATTACTTTCTCCAATTACTGCTAAAACTCCGCGCATGAAGAAATGAAGCAAATATTAAAAAAACGGAGGAAGTATTAGACTAAGCAATATATGTCTATGAATTAAATATTGTATAGAAAAATGTAATGAAAACGGAGTTTGTTTTGATGCATCATTCCAAGCATTCCTCCTACACAAGACAGCATGATTAGCACAAAACCTCTTTGCCGCCTGTCCCGTTATCCTCCTCTCCCTCGCTTCATAGCAGGTACAACTTAATTAATTACACTTCCCTCCTTCATCGATCATCATTCCGTTTTCCTTTTTTTAAAAAAAAAACTTATCTTTTAAACACCGATAATAATAAGTAAATTACACTTAGCACCTAGTAATGAATTTTTCTCTTTCCGACCTTATTATTTCTCAGTACTTTACATTGTATCTAGGGTCCCTAGGGATAGGTGGATACCTAGAAATTGTAGGGAATTACTCAACGAGACACCAATTTATTTTATTTTTTTTGGCACCGTACTACTAGTTACTACTAGTACTTCATTTACTTGTATAGTTGTATTACGTACATGTATTGATGTATATATAAACAAACTAAGTGTAATTGTGTAATGAGAACAACACCTTCACTTGTGGTTTTTTGTTTTGCTGCAAAAAATCCTTCATATATTAATAAAAAGAAATTTTGATAATTATCACCAACTATTGTTGCTAAAATTGAAAATACCACTTTAAGTTTTTTTATTTTAATCTTACCATCTAGTTTTTTTCCCAAAGTTTTTAAAATTCCACCCCTTTGACACATGACGTCATCATGGGACCCACACTTTCATTTTCCCTATTCTTCTACTCCCTTCTTTCAATTTCATCTCTCAAAATTTGTTTCAATTACGCAAATTTCGCAAATTAAGTTATAATTTCTACAATCTAACTTACAACGAACTAAGTTGATTAGTTTAACAACTCCTTTTGCATGCCCCCGGTTTACCATAATTTTATTGTACATCGAACATTTTTGCGAAAAGTGACCCTTTTTCTTTACAAAAGTGACCCTTTTTATTACAAAAGTGACCCATATATTCACAAAAGTGACCCATTTTTTTCACAAAGTGACCCATTTTTTTTCACAAAAGTGACCCTTTTTTTTCACAAAAACAGAGTATCAAAATAAAAAAAATAAACACAAAATGCAAAAATTAACCCAATGGCTCTACTTTCATCCCGTATCTCTATCTCTCCTCAAAACTAAACATTTCCACCATTAACAAACCTTCAAATTCTCTCTCCTCCATCAAACCCTCAACCCCCTTCTCCCTCTCTGTTACCAACTACAAGTCCTCATATTTTTCCCTTCAACGATGTCATCATCGTCACCTCTGCCGCCATAGTCATCGCCACCTCCGCCTTCGCCATGTTTGCCACCATCAAAGTAGATGAGGTGAAATGATAGATACCCACAATAAGGTATATGTGCAATTGGGGCCGAGGTATTTGGAGTTGTTGTAATCCCGGACTTCAAACTCGACTAATCGGGGGATGGGGGGAGGTCAGCGGCGCTGGAATCGGGGGATTGGGGTGGTCAGCAAGTTCGAAATCGGAGGGGGATGCCGGATTCTTGGGAGAAGCTAAGGGAGTGGCGACAGGATTGGTGGTTTGGCGGTAGGTGTTTCAGCCCGATTTACACTAATTTAGTGTAAACCAGATGTTATTAAATATTTGTGTTAGTTTAATTAGGGTTTGGGTAATCAATTTGGGGGTTTTGCTAAATTCGACAAATTAGGATTTTAATTTGAGGTGGTATTTTCAATTTTAACAACAATAATTGGTGATTGGTGGTAGTTATCAGAATTTCCTTAATAAAATTTACGTAACTATTTTCTCACAAATTAGAAAAAAGAGGAGAGAGTACATGTCAAAGTGAGGGAACACCTACAAATGGGCGAAAGTAAGTAGGTGGGAAAAAAAGTAGACCATTTTGTAAGGTAAGGAGATAAAAGTGTAACAAGGTCATAATCAAATTAAAAAGAAAAAACATATGAGGTGAAGGTAGTATATAAAGGAAACTTTTAACATATGAGGTGAAGCCAGTGAGGGAAAACACAAACTTACAAAAAAAAAAAAAAAAAACGGGTGTACAATAATTATTGTGCATTCAGTATAAAAATAGCCTAAAGTGATTAAAAGTTACTCCTGAAATAAATAAAAGTATCCCAATATGCATAAAAATAACCCTATACAAATAAAAAATATCTACGCTTTATTAGTAAAGAATTACATTTTAAATGACTAAAAATCAATTATTAGTGATTGAATGTAATTAAATTACCTTTATAAGACTTTTCTTGTTGTATATTTATATAAAAATTGTATTATGTTTAAAGTTATCTAAAAAAGGCAAAAAGCTACCCTAATTTTAGCTAAAAGTTACCCTAATTTTAGCTAAAAGTTACCCTTATACTACTCGAAGGAAAAATGCTTACCACCAAATGAGATGATGATTAAACCCTGAAAACATACACTTGTCACCCGTTTCATTAGTAGTGTTCATTATATCATTCCTCCCCTTCTAGACTTCATTCATTTATGTCTTTTCACTCTCAACTTCTCAAACGTATGTTAAATGTGTTGGTTTTGAAAATTTGTGCAGAGTTGAAGTTCTAAAGTTGTTTCATTAAAGCTCAATTTTCTTATACTCTTGGCTAAGCTAGCTAGCTTACTCTTAAACATAATGGATACCTTGGAATCATGTGTTCCGCCTGGATTTCGATTCCATCCAACTGATGAAGAACTTGTGGGTTATTATCTCAAGAAGAAGGTCGCCTCTCAAAAGATCGATCTAGATGTCATCCGAGACATCGATTTATACAGGATTGAGCCTTGGGATCTCCAAGGTAAATTTCATTCATTTTCTTCCTTCTAATTTCATTCCCCATCCTTTGTAAGATTTACTGTTTACAGAAATACAAGCAATATCTTTTTTGTACGAACTATAAAGTATATGTAGATAAACTCCAAACCTAAATGATATTTTTCAATCAAGATCAGATCAAGTAGAGCAGATGGTTCATGGTCACTACCGAATGAAAATACACAATAATGTACGCACGAATAATAAATTGGTAGTTTGGTACAATTCGCCTATCTAAAAAATAAAATAAAAACTTATGATATAATTCATGTGTAATGGGAGTGCAGATAGATGTCGGATCGGATATGAGGAACAGAACGAGTGGTACTTCTTCAGCCATAAGGATAAAAAGTATCCAACAGGAACAAGGACGAATCGAGCCACCATGGCAGGGTTTTGGAAGGCCACAGGAAGAGACAAAGCCGTGTACGATAAGAGCAAGCTCATAGGTATGAGAAAAACCCTAGTATTTTACAAAGGAAGGGCTCCCAATGGCCAAAAAACAGATTGGATCATGCATGAATATCGACTCGAATCTGACGAGAGTGGACTTCCTCAGGCAAATATAACTTATAGATTCCCTCCAATTTTATTTTTATTTTTATATTTTTAGGAAAATTTGTTGAAAATCATCTTATAACAACCAAATTTTGTTGAAATCCATCTTATAATTTTATTTTATTTTTGTCAACTCCCACCCCTTTCCGGATTCCGACCATTGACTTATTCATCTTATCACCATCATTTACTCTTTCTCATGACTTGAGCGCACATTTAAGAAGCTTATACAAGCAGTTGAAAGCAAATAAAAGCATCTAAAAAGCGAAGTGAAGAGACATCCAAAGACAAAAAATGACAAAAAGTGAATCATGTTTCCTAAAGTATATTATCCCACTAACAGTTATTCCCGTTTGACTCATATAGGAAGAAGGCTGGGTAGTATGTCGAGCATTCAGGAAGAAAGCAAGCATGCAACCGAAGAACATGGAGGGATGGGAATCGAGCTATGTTTATGACAGTGAATCTGCAAGTGGTGTGATGGATCCGATAATAATCCATAATAATAATTATAATCATACAAACAGAAACAGCTTCTTCCCAAAGAAATTGCTATGCAAGCAAGAAATCGAATCTGAAGCATTATTGGCGGCTAACTACTCACTTATTACTGATACTTTCCTACAACTCCCTCAACTTGAAAGCCCCTTGTCTACTAAGCGAACCATCTCTATTGTCTCTCAAAACAACAACAATAGTAGCAACTCTACTACTACCACTATTGGGGAGATTAATAATATGAATAAGGCGTCCAAGGTGACAGATTGGAGAGAATTGGACCAGTTCGTGGCTTCACAACTAAGTCAAGATCCAAAAACACTCGACGACCACGATCAATCTCTTAATCGCCATCTTTCGAGCTTTAGCCATACCTCTGATTTAGAGGCATTGTTGCTTTTGCATGGAGGTGATGAGAGAGAAGAGGAGGTCATTGATGCAGGCAAGTTGATAAGTGGTTTCATAAGTACTTCAAGCTCTGCTGATAGTGATAATATTGGCATATGCATATTCGACAAATTGAATCAGGATATCAACTAATAGCAAAATAGAAATACTTTACATCCATATCTTTTATTTTATGCTATTCTATATGTGTGGTGGCCAGATAATGCACCTAAAAATGTATGTATACGGATGTAATACGAATTCTTATTGTAAAATTCACTAATTATGCATACATGATACGTAAATATATAGCATATAGGTTATATTGATTATTACGGAGTACTTATATCCGTATAACTGTATAAGTTATTTCTATCATTTTTTCACAGTAAAATTGAATAGAAGGCTAGGGAGCTGGAAACTCAAAACTTCTCTCTTAGAAAAAGGAAAAGGAAAATTGTTGGATCGTAAAAACGGGGCCCATGGATTGTCTAGCGTGCTGGGCACAAATGTGGTTTATGTTTGGCATGCTTGTCTTTTTCATACGAAGAAGCTAGTACTCGGTATAATACAACAACCCTCTTCCCCAAATGGGAGGCCTAAGCCAAGCATGGACTGTATATATATATTTTGGCCATTAAAAGGTCCTTGCTTGCAATTTCTAAATAGTTAGAGCTACTAGCTAGCTAATGTGGAGCTACAAGGTTTGTAGTTTTGATGAAACTACATAGCTCTACAAAACTATGTAGTTTCACTATACCCAAAGCCACTTTAATTTAATTAAAAAAAAAAATTATTGTTTATTTATTTTATTTTTTTAATTGAATGAAAAAGGTTGTACTCTTTGTTTGGATAGCAAAGAAGGAAAAGAAGGGGAGGGAAAATGGAGGAAGGGAAGGGAAAAGAAAGGGAGGGGGAGGTGAGCTCCATTTTCCCTCCAAATCTCTTCAATTTTGGAGAGATTATGGTTATTATAGAGAAAGGGAAAATGGATCCCTCCCTCTCTTTCCCCTTCCTTCCCCCAATCTTTTACCCAAACGTACAAGAGATTTTGTCCCGCTCCATTTCTGTTCTCTTCTTTTCCTTCCATTTCTTCCTATCCAAACAAAGTGGTAGCTTGCTATTGTGGAGGTTTAAGAATAGAATGTGGCAACCCAAAGATACAAGGAGATGTTGTTAGCCATTGTAAATACTCTTATTCACTTTTCAAACAATTTCATTTACTTTTTGAATATATATATATATATATATATATATATATATATATATATATATATATATATATAAGTTTAAGTAAGTTCTAATAATTGTGGGTGCTCTAAGCTGGAAAAAAAGAATGAAAAGATGTGTAGTTACAAAAATGTCATTAAAGAGACGGGTAAAGTGCAGACCATTCGATGAAACATGATGGACAATTCATATCAGCTCCTAGTTCTCATGATTTTATGTCTAATATTAATCCACTAAACTCACTATTATTATTACTCCACTAAGGTCCAGTTCACTTCTCCTTAATTTTGCTGAACTAAAATTATTTTTGTAGAACTTAAATTATTTTTATTGAATTGAAATTATTTTTACAGAACTTAAATTATTTGTATTGAACTAATATTAATTTTAATTAATTTAAAATATTAATATTAATATTAATATTTGAATTGTTTTTTTTTGCTGAATTGAAATTATTTTTACTAATTTTCTATTATATTTCTTCTTAAAGTTACAATAAAATAATTTGAGTGAGGTTCAAAGTAACAGAGAGAAATAATAAAATATCGTATAAATTTACCAAATATCAAATATAGAAGTGATGCATTAAAAAATACAAATTTTTGTATGTGGCTGGCCACATGGTGCGGCAAGGGTTACTTGTAGGGTGTTACTGGTTTTGTCGGGGGGGTTACTTGTAGGTGTTACTTGTATTCTGGGGACTGGGGTTACTTGTATGGGTCACTACTAGAAATAGGCTAAATTCCGACGGAATTAAACACCCTGAAATCCGTCAGAAATAGGGTTTCCGTCGGAAGCGATTGTCGGAAAAGCATTTGTAGGAAAAATGAACTTTTCCGACGAAAATTCTGTCGGAAACACTATTCCGACGGAATTTCCGATGGATTTAATTCTGAATTTAACCGCGCCACCACCGGCACGGCGTATCACCACCTCCAACCACCAAAAAAACCCAACATCAGACACCGCCACAACCACCAACCCCTAACTCGTATCAGCAGTCTAGAACCACCCACAACCACCAGATCTACCACCAAACCAGAAAAAATTAACGAAAAACAAAAAAAAAAAATCAAAATGAAAACTTAAAACCCGAAAAATTCTTTGAAAATAGAACAAAAAAAAAGAAAAAAAATAAACAAAAAATGAAACAGACCTACCGCCACCTAAAACCACCGTCGAAACCCACCTAAAACCACCACCGAAACCCACCTAAAACCATTGCCGAAACCCGAAAAAAATTAACAAAAAAAAGCAGAAAAAAAAAATAAAAATCCCAACACCCTAAACCCGAACTTCAACAGCCACCATAACGGCATAACCACGTATTTTATATCTAGTAAACTTGAAAACCGAAAAAAAAAACCCGAACAAAATAAGTTGAAAATCAAAGCAAAAAACTTACCACAACGATTCAAAAACTTGAAATTGGTCTGAAAATTGGTTGTATAAGGCCAAATTCGACCATGAAAACGCTAGATCTAGCATTTCCATGGTCGAACTTGACCTCAAAACAAAAAACGCCGGGAATGTGGTCGGGAATATGGTCGGAAAAGCTTCGTGGGCTAGCTTTGTTAATGAACAACAAATTAAAGGAGATCGAGAGAGGTAAAAAAAAGAGTAGAGAAGGAGATCGAGAGATGAGAGATAAAGAGAGAGGAGAGATAAAGAATGAAGAGAGAGAGAGGGAGTGCGGCGCGGTGATGAGGGAAAGAGGAGAGTGAGGGAGAAAGGGAAACTGAAAGGGGGGGGGGGGGGTTAGTTTTAGGGTTAAGCTATTTATACCAAATTTTCTGCCTTTTAAAATAAATGTGGTCAGATGCTTTCCGACGGAAAATTCAGTCGGAAATTTACGACGGATTTAAATCCGTCGGAAATTATTTTATTTCTGACGGATTTTTCCGTCGGAACATACTTTCCTACGAATTTCCGTCGGAACTGTTTTAAATCCGTCAGAAATTTTCGACGGAATTTTATTCCGTCAGAACTTTCCGACATAATTTTTTTTCCGTCGGAAATTTTGTGATTTCCGACGGACTTCCGTCGGAATTCGGCCTATTTCTAGTAGTGGGTGTTACTGGTTTTGATCGGGGTTACTTGTAGGGTGTTACTGGTTTTGTCAGGGGTTACTTGTAGGTGTTACTTGTATTTTGAGGTTACTTGTATGAGTGTTACTGATTTTGGTCGGGGTTACTTGTAGGGTGTTACTGGTTTTGTCATGGGCTACTTATAAGTGTTACTTGTATTATAGGGTTACTTGTATGGGTGTTACTGGTTTTGATCAGGGGTTATTTGTAGGGTATTACTGGTTTGGTATGGGATTTTGTTCTGGAGTTACTTGTAGGAGTTACTCAGAATACAAGTAACCCCTTGATACAAGTAACCCATATAAGTAATCTCATAATACAAGTAACACCCTACAAGTAACCCCAAAATACAAGTAACACCCTACAAGTAACCCTAGAATACAAGTAACCCTAAAATACAAGTAACTCGTGCCGCACCGTGTGGCTTGCCGCACTGAAAAACCTCTAATTAAAAAAACATCCATAAATGAAAAGTGATGATTAAAAAAAAAAGAGTATTTTTTTTTAAGGTGAAGTGAACATTGCATAACACAAACTAATTACATACTTAAATTAAGATACCATATTCTTATACATTAGGATTTAGCTAACCACTAACAATTAAAAGCAAATACTCCAACAATAACTTATTTGAATTATTTTAATAAAAAATTCTTCATTTAACTTAGAAAAATTTGTTAAAAACCATCTTATAAAAACCAAATTTTGTTGAAAATCATATTTTATTATTATTATTTTGTTTTTTTATGTCAAAACACACCTGTTTTAATTTTTTTTTTTTTTTTTTGGTCAAGGCACACATATTTAATTTTTTTTTTTTTTTGTTAAATCCCACCATTTCCCCGGATTCCGACCAATTACTTACATTTCCGACATTGACTAACATATGTACCTCACGTGACCCACTTTTCTTTTATAAGATGGTTTTCAACATTTCCGGCATTGACTAACATGTGTACCTCACGTGATACATGTTAGTCAATGCCATAAATGTAAGAATTTAAGTTCAAATAAAGGATATAACTTTTCTGTTAATTAAGTGGGTCACGTGAAGTGCATATGCTAATCAGCGCCGAAAATGGTAATCAATAGTCGAAATCCGAAAAGTGGTGGATTCAACAAAAAAAAATTAAAACAGGTGGGCTTTGACAAAAAAAAATAAAATAAAATTATAAGATGGTTTTCAACAAGATTTGGTTTTTATAAGATGGTTTTCAACTAATTTTCCTTTAACTTATATCCTTTATTTGAACTTAATTTCTTGAAAAAAAAGGTGAATATGTGGTGAATAAAGAAGACGGATACATAAAATTGACAACCATCCCAATTCCCAACAAGATTTATTGATTATGACTAATGTGTTTTTTTTCATCACCCGCCCTTGTGGCTCTCTAAATACAAAAAAAAAAAAATTAAAAATAAATAAATAAATGGTCGATCTAGTGAAATGTGTAGAAATAATATGGGTAAAGTTAAATGGGACCGTCCACATCCGTCATGAGAGTTCGCTTTATAAATCCAAGTAAGATAATCATTCCAACACTTTTCCCTCACTTTTACGTTCGTTTAATGTGAGACAACACTTCTACTCACATATTAAGCAGGCCATTATATTGTCGAACTTCAATACTACCGGACGGGGGACAAATAAAAGGAGTTAAAACACAGTTTCGGTCTAAAATGTGAGTGTGAGAAACAAACAAAAGTATCTCACGTTAAACTTTAATGGCCTGGAATGTGATGTCAAGAACAAAATTAAAGTAAGTGATCCAGTAAGAGATTATGATGGAAGAGTTGACCAAGTTAGGCCTACACTTTCTTTTTATATAACAATCATTAATATATATACTCGTACCACCTTTTTCATCCTATTTGCAGATATACTCTGTTAGAGATATATATATATCCCAATATTTTATATCTCTCACATACTCGTATTGATTTAAAACTTCCTGATATCTCATATCTCTCACATACTCGTATAAAACTCTATAAGTAATGGATTTGTAAAAAAGTTTGATTGTGAGATCGAAACAAGATTGATATGTGAAATTGACAATTGGAAATGTTTGGTTGAGAATTTAGAATATGTTGGTTCACTTGGATGTAAGAGGTTTAGAATTAGATATATATATATATGCAAGTGGTGTGAGGAAAAACGACCACTCCATTTGATTAAAATAATTATTCTCCCCATTTTATCAATGTGACAATATTCTCAATGACACTATTTATTAGTCATGTTCATCTTAATGAATATTAATATTCAATCATATACCACTAATTTATACTTTCTCTGTTTCTTTTTAATTGACACGTTTCTTTAGTCACGTTTGCCAATATAAAAATTTAACCGTTTATATCCTTAATTACATATAAACAAAAATTATAAAATATTGATAATTTGAAATTACATATTGTGACGAATCTAATACGATCCCACATGACTATATTTTTTATCAAGTATAAATCACAAAACACGGTCAAAG